CCTTTCATGGCCGCAACAAGAAGCCGCGAAAGGTACCTCCCCCGCCCCCAGTGTTTGCTGCTGATGCTGTTGCTTTGTCTCCTCAATCTACTGTTATATCTGATGAGCTGCAGCTGCAGCAGCAGCAGCAGCAGCAGCTGCGGCTGTCTCCCTATCAAGCTGTTCACCTGCTGCAGGCGTTCTTGCCTCTGAGGCCTATAAACGCTTCTGTAGATGCAGCAGCAGCAGCAAGTCCCCCAAAACAGCAGCAGCAGCAGCAGCAGCAGCAGAAGCAAGAGCAGCAGCAGGAAGATGGGGCCGAATCAGCAGCTGCTGCAACTGCAGCAGCAGCAGAAGAAACTGCAGCAGAGCAACGGAATATAAACCCTCTGGTGTATCTAGTAATGCATGTAAACGCAGATCTAAGCAGAGAAAGTGTACGGGGTGTATGTACACTCAAACACGGCATCGGCAGCGATATGAGGCTCGCTGTTTTCTGCCCTGAAGAGGAGGTTAGTTGTTATAAATAAAAAAATAATTTATTTAATTTATTATTTATTTTTAATTTGTATTTATAATATTTAAATATTTTTTTCTGTTTGTGCTTGCTGGTGATTGACAAGTCAATAAGGTCTGCACACGACGCACAAACAGCAGCAGCAGCAACTGCAGCAGCAGCAGCAGCAACAGCAGCAGCAGCAACAGCAGCAGCAGCAACAGCAGCAGCAGCAACAGCAGCAGCAGCAACAACATTCTACATTTTCATGTTGTGTACAGCTGGCGTCAAGCCGCCGGCTGCAGCAGCAAAAATATACAAGCAATCTAACTAATAAAACAAGAAATAAAATAAATAAAAGAAAATAAATAAATAAATAAATATAAATATAAATATAAATAATAAATATATTTTTGTTTTGTATGAATCTGCTGCTGCTGTATAGGCCGCCGGGCTGCTGGCGCTTGGAGCTGATTTTGCTGGGGAGGATTCGTTGATACAAAAAGTTGCAAAGGGGTAAAAAATAAATAAAAAATAAATAAAAAATAAATAAAAAATAAATAAAAAATAAATAAAAATAAATAAATAAATATATAAATATATAAACAAATAAATAAATAAATAAACAAATAAATACTAATTAAATATTATTTATTTATTTATTTAGTTACAAACTAAATACGAAAAATTAAATAATTAATGAATAACTAAAATAATTAATTAAATTAAATTAAATTAAATTAATATTATATAGTATAATATAATAAACTAAATAAATAAATAAATAAATAAATAAATAAATAAATATATTTGTTTTGTTTTTTTTTTTTTTAGTTTTGTTGAGTTTGATAGAGTGATTGCTTCGCCCGCTTTGATGCCAAAAATTTTAA